TTTTTTTTTTTAATATCATTTTGCTTTGTACTAGTTAATTTTTTATACAATATAAAATGGTTTCGATTCTTTATTTTGTTTAGTAGCTTACATTTATAGTTATTAAATTCCTGCTCTTATATTTGATTTTAGATTTTATATTTTATTGAATCTTAAGTTTCTTCTTGTCTGCTGCCCCATACCATATCTATTCCGCATATTCAAAATGTTTAGAATTTGTACATGTTTTTAAAGATCCATAGCTTTTGATTAGCATCAAACATATTATATCATTTTTAACTAAACATCATTAAAAAAAGAAACATCACTTAATAGCTTTTAATATGCTTTAACATAAATATATTTAGAATATATTTTATAGCGGTGATCTGCCTCACATAAAAGCTATTTTAATCATTTTTTATAGATGTTGTTTTTTACCTCACTTAAGTTTCAGCTGATTCTCAAATTTCTGCATCCTTAAGGATTACTTAAAAAAAAAAAAAAGAGAAGTAACTTACCTCATTCACTTCCACATTAAGCAACGGCTGCATTTCTTTCAGTTCATTCATGAAAAAACTCCCTCAAGAGCTGACAGAGATATAAATAATAATTAAGAAAAAAACCACAAAATGAGAAAAATAAGAAGCAGAGCTGCATATTAATTTAATGTGAGCTCATTTTGTGTGTCTGTGTGTTTGAGTGTGTGTGTGTGTGTGTGTGGAGTTCTGAGAAGCATAAAAGGCGTCATTTATGTATGTTTTGTACATGCAGCGACAAAACTCATAAATTACAACCAATTATCAAATTAGATATTTACAAAACATGCACTTTAAATCAACGTCTTCTTCTTCTTCTGCTTTATGAGTGGGTGCAGTGGCTGAGCAGAGTGTGGAGTGGGCGTGGCATGGCGTTTGCTATTTATGAGATTTGTCTTTGACTTTTTTATAGTCGAAAAAAAAGAAAAGGAAATTAAATCAAAAATACTTGCAACAATCAATTTATTTTAATCACGTGCTGATGGCTGCAATTAAGCCGCGTTGCACGTTGCATGCCGCACGGTTGCAATTGGAAAAAATTAGCAGACAATGCGCAAGTGACAGGCCTCGGAGCAATTAATTTAGTGTAATTACTCAGTGGACGACAGTTGACAAGTGGCAACTAGAGCAGCAGGGAAGAGCCCGAAGCACTCGATTGGGAGTTGGGCTAAGTTGTTGCTGTTGCTGTTTGGTGTTGCTGTTGTTGTTGCTGTTGTTGTTGCTGTTGCCACCTCAACGCATCGATGAGATTTTGTCGAGCTGCATTTCGCTTAATTTCTTTGACTTTGACTGCAATTGCGACGGCATTTTAATGAGCTGCAACCAAATGTTGTTCCCTTCTCTTCAAGTGGCGGCAAATTGCGGCCCCAAAACAAGGGTTAAAGAGTTGTAGTTGCTGTTGCTTCTGTTGTTGTTGTTGTTGTTGTTGTTGCGCTTGTCTGGGGTCTAGCTGCTTGTCTGCTAATTGGCCTGGGGCGCTGCTATTGCTGCCGTTGCTGTTGCTGCTGCTGCTGCTGCTGCTGCTGCTGCTGCTGCTGCTGCTGCTGATATCAAACAGTTTTACGCACAAATTGAAACTGATTATTGTCGTTGTGTAGCCCTGATTTATGGTACTGAGTGATGAGCATATGTTTTAATTAATTTCCAAGAAAGTGTT